TGGATTAATGTCTGGCATCAGTTATCCCTATAATTGTCAGTCACTTGAATCGGAGATATTTATGACACTTTCCTTTACTACTGATGTAATAAAATTTAATGCAATTTATAATCAATTCTGAAATTCTCAGAACTAATTTTAATTAAGAAATTTATCATTTTAAAAAATACTAAACCCATTGCACGCATTAATTAAATTTATTTGTGCTTTTAAAATAAAATCTAATTATTTAAACAAAGGTTTTTTGATATAAACTTTATTAACTTTTATACCGCTTTTATTTTCTTTACTTTAAATTATGATCCGTTAAAAGCGGTTATCTTTTAGGTATAAATTTAATCCAATTTCCGAGAATTGGATTATATATGAAATTCATTGCATTGAAGACAATATGGGAAATGTGTTTTGTTTATAGTCTCATAGCTATACGTTATGTTTGGGGGAAAAAGTCAAATACAAAGCATTCAATAATAATAAAGATGATTGAAATTTTAGGTTGAATTCAATGGATTAACCGGAAAGATATCATTCAAAGAAGGCGTGCGTTCGGGCGTTAAAATGGATTTATTAAAGCTTAGGCAACAAGAACTCGACAAAGTATTGCCATTCACTCATTTATAGATACATTTATAGATACAACTTTTATTTTACCTTTTTTTATATTTGCTTTTTTGTGTTTCTTTGTTTCACTCGTCAATTGATGGACTAAAAGGTCGGCGAATTCACAATCGATTCCGGACTCAATATAACAAAACTTCATGCTTTCCGAGAGTTTGGTTACAATAATATTACACTCAAAGTCACTACAATTGAGGTATGATTTTGATTATATATAGGCCTGTCGTGCAATGTTTTTTTGGTACCGGTATATATTTTTTGTTCATATATTAAAGTCAATTAATACTCTAATAGAAAAATTTTAAGTGATATTTGTAAGCAAATTATTATCAAATACAGTATATCATCGTTAGCTGTAGAGGCTTTCAAAAATCTAATACCCATTTAAAGTTAATTAATGCAATTAATAACTATTCATTAGATCAATAAGAAATTTTTGACATTAAATTTAATGATTTGTATAATTTATACAGTATAAAGAATTAGCTCTCATTTCATCCTAATTAAAGCCATTAATAATATAATATTTACTTTAGTTTAATATTTTTCATATAAAATTCACTTATTAAATGAAAAATACTTTTACGAAACCCATTGATACTCGGGATATAAATATTTTATTTCGCATAAAATAAGGTGTTTTGTCAGAAATTCAATTATTAAATGTCTTAAACGCCTCACAAACTAAAGTATATCTTAATTACATCAGTAGTAAAGGAAAGTGTCATAAATATCTCCGATTCAAGTGACTGACAATTATAGGGATAACTGATGCCAGACATTAATCCATTGGTATTTTCAGTGAATTTCTTTGTGATCAATGACTTTCAAACACGTTATGATTGGTTTCCATTCAATACTACTTCCATATACTGTCCAAAAAATGTAGTCTCAACTCAATGTCTAAAACTTATATTTTCCTCATGAATCATAAAAACGATTGACTTTTTCACTTCTTTTTAGTCTCTCTCTCTCTCTCTCTCTCTCTCTTATTTAAGTCTTTCAATANTCACTTCTTTTTAGTCTCTCTCTCTCTCTCTCTCTCTCTCTCTCTCTCTCTCTCTCTCTCTCTCTCTCTCTCCCCACACACGAGAGAGCTATATATTATGCCCGATATTTTTCATTTCATTTAACGACTCTTTTCTCAAAAGTATTCTCATCTCTAACTAAATGTTTGTTACAATTTCTGGCCATAAATACAACGAATTGAATGAGAAAAATACACACGAAATCGAAAACATGTTCAGCTCTTTACGACTCTTTTGACATACATTAAGCACTCATTCCTTGCGTTCGCTTTAAATACACCTTTAAAATAACTGTTTTTTATTTTGTTTCTCTTTTCCCACTGTATATGTGTTTTTCACATGAAATTTGTTTCACGAATACAAGAATTTCACGATTAATTAACTTTATATATAAAAGCGACAAATGTTTCCAAAATATATATGTTTTATGTATTTTTGCTTTTGTTTTTGCCGACAAATCAGTCGCCGCCTTATATAATGATACGGAGGACCAACGGCTCAGACGTTATAAAATACGATGGCTTTTGCATAGATATGCTGAACGCTATCTCCAGAGAATTGGGCTTCAGTTACAAAATATATTTAGTGCCCGACAAACGGTTCGGCGCCGAGAATGCCAGTAATCCGGGCCAATGGAACGGATTAGTACAGGAGCTTATACTTAAAGTATGATTTTTGTTATTAAATACTTAAATACTATTGTACTGTACTGTTTATGTTGGAAATATTAATTTTTATTAACAATATTTTAATTTATTGCCCATTGAACTGAACAGAAGGCAGACTTAGCGGTCGCTCCGATGACCATATCGTACGCTCGCGAAGAAGTGATCGACTTTACAAAACCATTCATGAATTTAGGGATAGGAATCCTATTCAAGATTCCCACTCAAATGCCTACCCGTTTGTTCTCATTCATGAATCCATTAGCTGTTGACATATGGCTGTATGTTGTGGTGGCTTACATACTGGTCAGCTCTACCCTCTTCATTGTGGCCCGATTTAGTCCATTTGAATGGCAAAACCCTCATCCATGCGAAAAGGTATTACGCGACACAACCATCTCTTATGTAATAAATATTACGTCTGCTTATCATTTCAAGCCAAACATCTCTCTCTCTCTCTCTCTCTCTCTCTCTCTCTCCAAAAGACCGCAAACCATTGTTTTCTATATAACTCGCCGGAAATCATCAAAAGTGTTAACTAAAGTGTGCGCTCAACACAATATTCAGCTCATAATCTCTGCTCTCTTACAGCAAAACAGTTGATAGAAAAATGTTATTAAAGATAGTTTTGGCCAAAAATGTAATGTCAAGTGAATGCCATATAATAGGAAATTAGGGACAAAAAGAGATTTAGTAATTAGTATATCGAGAGACTTAAAGAGGAGAGAGAAATGTCCGATAAATCATATGTTAAGCATAAATAATGCTTGAAATGCAACACAATATTAAATTCTGTTTCTCTTTCGCCATTCACTCCAAACACACACAAAGTTTTTGTATAATTTAATTGAAACCATAAGGCTTTCAACGAATGAAAAACAAATACAAATATATATTCTTTTATACGAAAACATATAAAACACAACAATAATAGATATGAAAATAATTGAATTTTTTATTTGCTTTTATATTGAATCAAATAGGATTCGGATGTGACAGAGAATCAGTTTAGTTTAGCCGATTCATTTTGGTTCACAATTGTGACACTCATGAAACAGGGCTGTGACCTGAATCCCAGATCCATATCCACGCGTATAATCGGTGCCATTTGGTGGTTCTTCACGCTTATACTCATCTCCTCTTATACGGCAAATTTGGCCGCTTTTCTGACCGTCGATCGTATGATTACACCCATAGAGAGTGTCGAGGACTTGGCCTCACAAACCAAAATCAGTTACGGAGCCCTCGAAGGCGGCAGTACTATGACATTCTTCCGGGTATGTGATGTGTAATACACTGTATATGTAATGCCATTATTATTGATAAAATCATAAAAATCCAGACTCTTTGCTGAAATCAATAGACATGTGATTATTATTACTGTTTTATTATTCAATTTTTTGGGACTTGTTTTTTGTTTTTCCCATTCATTTGGCGTCAAATGTGATCGTAATTCTGGAGATAATGTTCAGCAATCATACTTTGACGAGAATTTTACAGAGATTTTTCATATTTAGGCATCAAATCGGAAGACATAGAGTATATATTGAACGCCTGTATGTGTAGTGGAAGTGTATGTATAAAGAGATAGCAAATGATAAATAGGCAATGATTTAAATGCGGAGCACATCTGCACTGAGAATATTATGATCAGAAAAAATTAAATTGAATACAACACACATCGCATAACGAGAGAGAGAGAGAGAGAGAGAGAGAAGTAAAAAGATAGATAGAGTACAGGGAATAATATTTTGTTTATAAATTACAGATTCAAGTAAAATGTATTGTTGAGTAAAACACATAAGAGAGAGAGAGAGAGAGAGAGAGAGAGAGAGAGAGAATAGATGATCTTTTCGTGTATAAAATAACATTGTGTATATATACAAAGTATTATGTGTTTTACTCAACAATACATTTTACTTGAATCTGTAATTTATAAACGAAATATTATTCCCTGTACTCTATCTATCTTTTTACTTCTCTCTCGCAGTAATGTTTGTCATATCTCTCAGTCGAGTCCCTCAGAAATTTTATACTGTATTCTTATCCCTAAAATGAATAATGAATACTTTGTTTATATATTCTTATATTATATACTGTATAGTATTTTTGAAGACTGTTGTGCTTTATATCAAAATAGTATCTGATTTTTGTATTCAAGGAGTAATTTCTTTTACAAAATTGGTTCTGAAAATTTGAAATAATTTTAAATTTAAATCTAATTTTAAAGCTTTTACTTTACATCAAATCATGAAATTTATATGAATTTGAGTAAAAATTGGATTAGAAGTGAAGTTTCATTTTTATGTTAAATTTGTGCATAAAATTAGATTTTTATTGAAAAGGGGCCTAATATGAGCATTCAGTTCGTCTGCAACCGATTATGTGAATATATTTTACGCCAGAATTGGCTGAACTATCAATAAATTAACTCAATTTTGTCGGTATTATTATTAAATCATTCAAAATATTGTTGATCTTCTTTGGTGTTCATTGAATTGAAAATAGATTTTGTGAAGAAATTTTATAATTTGTTTTAAATTATTTAATGAGATATAGAGATGTAGTTTCCACTAAAATAATCATTGATTTTCTATTCAAATACAGTTGTGTAAGTGTTGTGAAGAAAACATTTTTACACGACTAAACAAAAGTGTATTATAAATAAATAAATGAAAGGATAACTTAAACGGAAAATTTTAATAATCTTTTTTTGACGTTTGAGAGAAACAAAAACAATAATTATTTTATTGAAATTGTATTATTCAGTAATGTTTTTGACATATTTTACAATTAGTTTTCTGTTGTGTTCTCAGAAATTTATATTCATTACACGTTATGGTATCATATTATCATAACATGTAAACTGATAATACAATTAATGTTTGTCCCAACTATTCATTAGCGATAACAAGATTTAGTGCATAATTATATGTTATTGTGTTTCACATATTTTCATCTCATTATAAATTCAAGTGACATTTTCGGTGCTATGGATTAAAATATGATTAAAACTAAATATAAATGTTTTTGTTTTACATTATAAATGAATCAAAACTAATGCTGGTAATTGTTATTTGCATAAAAAACATATAAAATAGGACTCAAAGATCGATACATATCGCAAGATGTGGTCATTTATGGAGAAGAATCCGTCAGTATTTGTATCGGAATATTCTGAGGGAATGAAACGTGTATTGGAGGGCGACTATGCCTTCCTCATGGAATCGGTGAGACTTTTGTGTTTTTATATACAAAATAAATGACACATTTTATAATCAATTGTGGCATAATTTTGATGTGTATTTCCAGACAATGTTGGACTATATGGTGCAGAGAGACTGCAATTTGACTCAAATCGGAGGACTTCTCGACAATAAAGGCTACGGAATCGCGACGCCTATGGGTATGTGTGCTATCATTCATATTTGTTTCCTATATATAAAAGGCATACAAACTATGCATACAGTGATATAAGTCAATTTGGAGGATAGCATCACGCGTACAGTTATAAGCATGTCATATGAAAGATGAGAATTTAATATCAATGATAAGTTGATATTAAAATTTAGATCCAAATTATTATTTTGATGTGAAATTGATTTATTAGATAATTCGATGGATATATAAATACTATGTAATTTATGGTTGATTGTTGACATGAATAATACAGATGTAAACAAATATTAATTTAATAACAATTAACTATTGTATAATATAATTATATACAGTTATATAGTTTGTTGTATAGTAGGTATAATAGTATTCGGTGTATTTATATTATACATAATACAGATGCCCCAAATAACCTTATTCTTTATCTAAATAATTGTAAATAATTATAATATAATTAAGATAATTCATATTTTAAATATTTCAATTGATTAATCGCATTAATAATACTCTTATTACTTTCATAAGTGTCTAATAGATAAATGTATTGTGCGATCATTGAAATGAAAAATAAGTAAAAATTTAATTTCAATAATAGCAGCGAAAATGAGTTCTCTTTGTGTATATAAAATATTCCGTGAAATTGGGTTTAAATAAGAATATTCTGAGAAAACATCAAATGTATGCCACAAATAGTAGTCACAGTTATAGACATTTTCTGTGAACACAAAACATTAAGATTTAACGCATTGATAGTAGATTTAACGTATCATTTATTTTATATATCGCTCTCTCTCTCTCTCTCTCAGAGGATATTCAAAATAAGAGAAAAAATAAATTTTCAACGAAATAAAGACATTTATTGTAATAAAATGTACAAAACTCTTTCACATTTTCTATATAACTCGCCGGAAATCATCAAAAGTGTTAACTAAAGTGTGCGCTCAACACAATATTCAGCTCATAATCTCTGCTCTCTTACAGCAAAACAGTTGATAGAAAAATGTTATTAAAGATAGCTTTGGCCAAAAATGTAATGTCAAGTGAAAGCCATATAATAGGAAATTAGGGACAAAAAGGGATTTTCGTGTAATTAGTATATTGAAAGACTTAAATAGGAGAGAGAAATGTCCGATAAATCATATGTTAAGCATAAATAATGCTTGAAATGCAACACAATATTAAATTCTGTTTCTCTTTCGCCATTCACTCCAAACACACACAAAGTTTTCGTATAATTTAATTGAAACCATAAGGCTTTCAGAGAATGAAAAACAAATACAAATATATATTCTTTTATACGAAAACATATAAAACATAACAATAATAGATATGAAAATAATTGAATTTTTTATTTGCTATTTTATTGAATCAAATAGGATTCGGATGTGACAGAGAATCAGTTTAGTTTAGCCGATTCATTTTGGTTCACAATTGTGACACTCATGAAACAGGGCTGTGACCTGAATCCCAGATCCATATCGACGCGTATAATCGGTGCCATTTGGTGGTTCTTCACGCTTATACTCATCTCCTCTTATACGGCAAATTTGGCCGCTTTTCTGACCGTCGATCGTATGATTACACCCATAGAGAGTGTCGAAGACTTGGCCTCACAAACCAAAATCAGTTACGGAGCCCTCGAAGGGGGCAGTACTATGACATTCTTCCGGGTATGTTATGTGTAATACACTGTATATTTAATGCCATTATTATTGATAAAATCATAAAAATCCAGACTCTTTGCTCAAATCAATAGACATGTGATTATTATTACCGTATTACCCCGCTTATAGGTGCATGCACTTATAAGTGAATTTCACAGATTTTGCATGTCACCAAAACTACCGCACCTATATCCGGATATAAGTGCACCCCTTGTGTAAAAATCACATATAAGTGCACCCCTTGTGTAAAAATCACATATAAGTGCACCAATATTTATTTATCAAAATTATTTAATAAATTAATGGGTAGATCAGTAACAGTCAGACGCTCAAATAATTAGACGTGATTTTTTGTTTAAACTTGGCAATCTTTGCAAACCAACCATTAAAAATGTGACGCTTTTTATATTATAATATACCCTTTAATTAATATTTAAGTATAACCACAATCTCATCACCTATTATTCATGTAACAGCATCTATGAGTTATCATAAATGTTAGCATAGAATAGCAGTAATTATAATGCATTAGTGCGACATGAATGCAACCTGTGGAAGTACATGGGGTAGATGATTCATTATTTAATAATTTAAAGTAAATCTTCTTTTTAATTTCTTTCTTTGTTTTGTCACACTTTTATTCATTGATTATTTGAATTGATTCATTAGTGATGAATAATCACTTGAAAACATGTTCATTATATGAGATATTTTACACTAATGTACTCATTATTCATGAAACTCATAAATAGATAAAAAAATACATATGGATTTTAAACAATTAAAGTAACATTTTAGAGTTCAAAGTTTAATAATAAGTCATTTGACTTTCATCTCAAGGTATATGTAAATTTCAATTGAAAGTCAAAAATGTGCCAAAAACTACCGCACCTATATCCGGATATAGGTGCACCCCTTGTGTGAAAACTCACATATAAGTGCATGCACCTATAAGCGGGGTAATACGGTAATATAAATGAAACAAAACAACAAA